ACCCGAAGGGCATCCGTTCTGGACTGCGGGTTGATTTCAAAAAAAATCTGAGAAGTTTCTTGCAAAATATCCTGAGAGGGACTCTGGATCGCGGGTTGATTTCCGAAAAGCAGAAGGGTTTTTTCGAAAAATAACCGCGGCTCGTCCGATCTGGGCCGTCCGCGCGGCCGATCGAACGGCCACGAAAAGCCGGCGACGTGGACGCGCTGGCTGGACGAGCTGGCCACACCGAATCATATCTTTAGATGGCAACTTGGCTAGCGACGCTATGGTTGTGACGCAGGGGGCGACGACAGGTTCCTCCGATGTGACATGGGTCGTGCTTGGGCCTTGGGGTGCAGTGCAGGTGTTGGATGAAGGATGCATAGCTGCATACGCGAGAGATTTGACCGAGTTGTGGGATGCCTGCTGAACTTGCTTTGAGAAGAGTGCTAGAGATTGTGCAGATAACCAAACGTGGCCAAATTGCTTTAGGGAGAGTCTAAATAAGGAGTTGTATAGACAACCAATCAAAATCCATAAGCACATATTATACAGACTATGAATAGAGACAAAGAGGATCTATTATATTGTTTTGCAACCTAAGTAAATGTACAAATTATATTAGAAGTACCCCTCGGTTAGTTCAAGAAGTTGTGAAAGCTAACTAGCTAAGAAAGCAATCAGCCGCCAACTATGAACTAAACATAGCTCGGTTGATTGGGTTCTTTATAGTAGAACTTATCTACCGGAGTTGAAGTCCTCAGTCTAATGCAGGTGCTCCCTTTTTTTCTTGGGTTTATTTTAAGATTTAACGGCGTTGTTTTTTAGTGGTAGACAATGTACTTGTCGACAACAAGACGCTTGTGGCGACTTCATTAATCTTGAGATATGTCTTCATTATTTTAGAGGTCCTCGTCATAGAAGTAGGGTGTATGTGTGTATATACGAGTATTTGCGCCTATAATATTATTTGCAAAAAAGCCACTAACTATACCTAAACATAACTTCGTAGAAAATTAAGATCAGTACGTACGACACAGTAATTATGGTTAGGGGGAGTCAACAAAATGAGCAGTAGACCTAGTTTATCTTTGTTCTACCATCGGACATCGGTAAAAACAATATACACCATGATTACCCATGTTCTGTTTGATTTTTATTTGAATTTCGTCTATCTGACTTTAAGTCACATGTAACCCTCTGAAAATTATTTTTTACTCAGGGTTCAAGTTGGAACATCAAGAATGCTTTTTTAGGAAAAAAAAACAAATTAAGCGAACAATCATCCATGTTTTAATCCTGACTGCTAAATTAACGCGTAGCTAGCTCCTCAGGTGTGCCCTTGCGCACTGCTCCTGCATGCTTCTAACGACAGTGCAATATTGACCCGTGTGCACGGAAGCGTGACGAACAACTCCTTTGTGCACACACACACAAAAAAAAGGTACTGAAGCCCCACAGGGGAAGAGCAGTTGCACGTACGTACGTGTGGACGCAGCACTGATACGGCCGGTACTCGTTGGCGGCCATGCTTGCAAGGAAAGGACTGCGAAAACTTTCTCCCTCGGCCTCGGCCAGTAGCTGGTAGCTGCGACGATGCAAGATAAACAGTACACGTCTCTCTCTGGCTACACAGGTGATGCTCTTGTACCTAACGTAGCTAGAGGCTTTTGAGGACGGCGAGAGCTCGCCATTTGTGATTTGTCCTTGCCGTTAGCCGGTTGCTCACTCCTCTCGTCCTCGGTCGGTCGGTCCTCCATGTACTTGCACCCTGTTCAACTCGACCGGAGAGTGGTTGTGTAGTACTAGCTCGCGCATAAATAGTGTTTGACCACATGCACGCATGGACAAGTAACAGTGCACTGTGCACGTACGATGATACGTGCTCGACGATCTCAACTGCTTTTGCATGCAGGGGGGCGGCCGGCCGGGCACGGATACATGAGCAGTGCCTAGTGACTAGTGTCGTTATTGCACGACGACGACTTGAGTTTCTTCCAACTGCAGCAGTGATGGACCTAGGTTTTTATCTCTGGGTATACGTAGAAAAAAAAATTCTTATACAATTCGATAAACCAAAAAAATTTCTTATGCAATTTTTTTTACATTAAAAATTTCTACCTATCTCTATAACTGGCGGACCACATGATATACGGTGGCCCACCCTGCATACCCTGTAGGTCCGTCCCTGAACTGCAGGAGAATCCTGCGTGCCAAACCATAGCTGCCGGATTTGGCGTCACATGCGCTTTTATACATAATATCGGCATGAAACGCACGCAAAGCTTTCCAGGTTTCCGAAAGGCGTGGCCGTGAGGCCGTCGTCATCCGACCCCGTCGATCGGCTCGCCCGCCATCGATCGCGTCGCGGGGAAGCAGCACTGTTCAGACGATATCTCTGAACATCTAAGCTAGCCGTGCGTGCACCCAACTCGATGAGAGAGAAATTAAAGGGACAGACCAGCTGCGTCGTCGATCGACGCCGGGAGAGAAGAGTCCACAAGAAACCTCCTCTCGTCCACCCATCCATCCCTGCTAGCTATACTAGCTCCGATCCATCCGAGAGAACACGTCGCGGTCAAATATTTACACGTAGTACGCGACGGGCCAGAAAATGCTTGACCTTCACGTGCTCGATCAATCGCCCGGGCCGGCTAGCTCTTATATATATCCACCTCTACTTATTTATTGACATGTACTTTGCTTGCGCAACGTAAGCTTGTATATACTCCATATAATAATCAGCTTGGAAATGGAAACGAATTGTGATGATTGTGTCTCCCGGACCCCGGAAGCCGACAAGACCAGCCACGCGCTGCGATGGTAACTTGTGCATCTGAAACACTGAAAACTCCCAGTTTCAACCAACCGGCCGCCCAACCGCGCGCTGCTTCTCTTTGACATCACACGAGTACTGAAAACCGCTTTCTTGCTTATAATAATAAGAGTATTAAAAGCAAATCCATCTCTTCCAACTTTGTTTTTTATGAGTCCAACTTTGCTTCATTACTCCTATTTTAAAATACATAACACGTACGGTCATCAAAAGTATTTTAATCATGCTTTAAATATTTGTATTATACTTATTACACATATTGATATTTGTAGAAGAGTAAATTGCACCCCCCATGCAACAACTATCCATTTGGATGTAAGCTCAATTTTGATGCAAGAATTCGGTTGTTTTGTGCATCTACGGTCCAAGCATTACACATGTGGTGTAATTGGTCACATTGTATGTTGAGGACAATCCACTTAGGCCACGCATATTAACTTGATGGTGGTCCAACTCGCTTGGCTCAGTCTTATCTATGAGAACACCCAATGTCACGACAACAACTCTTCATCATCTTAGGTCCAATGTCAATAGCACATATGTCGCAAGGTCTGACCTAAATAACACCCTAGCTAGCCTTGTCAAACAGTGCACGGGAAAAGGTTTTTTTTCGGATGTTGCGGGGTGAAAGTCATCGAGAACCCAGCATCATTATTCGTGCCCCCCACCTAGGCCTCCCACCTCGATGGCCAATGCAAGACACCAACATCTTGCACGCTATAGGGAACGTGCACTGATATGATGATCAGTTTGTGGTTCGCGTTCTACCAAATAAAGCATGGACACTAGGTTGTATGTCGAACGAAAATGGAGCACAAGTTCACTCAGCTCGCGGCGCAGAAGTGGACGTAGCATAGAGTATGTTGTGGTGGCCTAGAACCGGGGTGAGAGAGAAAGACTACAAAGGCTACCTACAATCAAGCTTTCTCAAATGAACCGAGCAGTGGATGAGCCAAGTGTGCTATGACTTCATTCCCAGCAATAGTGAATCCACTTAAAGATCATCGTCTGGCGTGGCCATGTATGTGTGTGTTAGTGTTGGGACCGTACATGCACTAATTTCTCAAGTTCTTCTCACAAATTGAGCATTTTGCAAGTTGTTGGATATATATGCACACACTTGATTGTCTATTTGTTGTAAGATGAATACAATCTACTTCTCTGTAGAAAGGCGAAAATATATTAATTTTGAACTAAAAAGGTCAACTATGTCATCTATTTTAAAACGTAGTAGTACTGCTTTTTAGCGTTTCAAAACGAGGAGAGGGACGGTTTATTTAATTTGGAGAAGTTTCACACGTGCGTACTGTTTCAACCTTCCCGGCCGTCACGCTCCGCGGACTCGTCAAATTTACCCTGCTGCTGGTGGCAGGCGTGCGGCATGCAGCTAGCCATCGGCATCGGCAGAAAGCTAGCGGTAAGAAATAAAACCCAGCAGGAACTCACGGTTGCCGCGACGAAAATCCACCCATCGATCCGATCCGTCTCCGCCCGGCCGTGCCGCGCGTCCTTGTCGACAAAAGGAGGCCGGCACTGCTGTTATATTAATCGCGATTCGCGAGATGATGGTGATGGAGCTAACTGGTTGGCAAGTAATATAAGCTCGATCGCTGCTGCTGCTGCCCCGCTTTACCGATTGCCCCCAACCCCCTCCCTTCTCGTTAATTTTCCATTATCCATAAACTACCAGCACTACATGCAGCTACGCACGCAAAGCTCCTCTCGGCCGGCGAGCGCGAGTGACAGTGACAAAACCGCCTGCTTTCTCCACGGTCCACACCAAAATTTATCGACTCCCTCAAGTCCCAACCAACCCAAGTAGGGAGGGGTACAGCAACAGCAGCGTCCCCCTCGCTCTTCCAGTCCAGCGCCTATAAATCCCGGGGCCGGACTCCGAGCTCACAGACTAGGACACAGCCGCTGGTCACTGGGCAACCCAGCGCAGCTAACACTCCTATACAAATATCCACTACTCTTAGTACAGACTACAGAGGCAGAGCGAGCACAGATTAAAGCTGCCTGTAGATAGCAACCATCAACAGCGACTGATCGAAGTAGTGAGCAACTGAGCATCAGTCGATCTAGCTACGTACATAGAAACAGCTGCAGCAGCTCTCTTCTACTTGCTGTCCCTGCGGTGGTTTTAGGAGTGTAATCTGCTCGAGTAGCTAGCTGAAGAACCATGGGCTGCGAGGAGGAAGAGAGGCTGCTGTTCCCGTCCTTCGTCTTCCCCGATAGCTTCGCGGAGGCCGCCACCCCCGGCTCCGGTGACGGTGAGTGCTTCATATGTATATCATCTCTGGTACCAGTACCATATGTGTATATCGAGTAATCCATGGATGATATGATATTATTATCTACCTGAACGAGCAAGAGATCGGGAGCTCGCTCATCACGGCGCGGCAATAATGTACATGTGCTACCAGGTGGTGAGCAGAAGAAGGCTCGGCAGCGGCGGAGGCGGAAGCCGCGGCCGGCGGCGGATGGCGGCGAGGCCGGGGACGAGCAGGCCAAGAAGCGGCGGCTGAGTGACGAGCAGGCGCGGTTCCTGGAGCTCAGCTTCAGGAAGGAGCGCAAGCTGGAGACGCCCCGCAAGGTGCAGCTGGCCGCCGAGCTGGGCCTCGACGCCAAGCAGGTTGCCGTCTGGTTCCAGAACCGCCGCGCCCGCCACAAGAGCAAGCTCATGGAGGAGGAGTTCTCCAAGCTCCGCGCCGCGCACGACGCCGTCGTCCTCCAGAACTGCCACCTCGAGACCGAGGTAACAACTATTCCGGCCAGCGACACCAAATTAATTTAAAGGAAAACTTGGTTTCATAAAAGATCAGAGCATTCGGAAAATATCATCCAAATACACATCCGTTACGTAAAATACCACCGAAAGAATGGACTGTTACCTTCAAATAGCATTCCATCGTGGGAATGTTACCTTCAAATAGCATTCCGTTACGGTAGCCGCTTTTGACGTGAATTCCTCTGGTGAGGCATATTTGTTCCCCGTTTAAGAGAAACAGAGCACACACGCCGGCATACGGGCACAACCCGATTCGTCCTGGAGAGGGCACAGCGGCCGTGACTGACCAGCCGGCGACCTTCACAGTGGCCGGCCGCACCTATCGATGTCAGTGGCGTGGCCTGATATGGCTCATAGGAGCATGGGCCCCGTGCCCACGCGGCATGTAACGACATGCAGCAATGGCGAACCCGGCGACTACAAGGTCGGCGTGGGTAAACGTCAGGTGCGTGGGGGTGCTAGAGGGGCTGGTCTGGGCATGGCTTGTGCGGGGTTGAGTAAGAGCCATGGGGCGGCTCACCATGCGGAAAAAACAAGCGTCTACGGCCGGCATCGAACAGGACGGAGGCGACCCGCGAAGCAGGGCTGCCAGCGGAGTTTCGCCCGAAGGAGGTGCACATGGTGGTTGTGGACGCGGCAGTGTAGCTGGCTTGGTGGAGGCGCCTCTGATTGGAGCTGTCTGCGGGAGTTCCCCGCGCGGCGGCCATGGCGAGCAGCAGGAACAACACACCTGGCGGCGGCAGGATCCAGCGTCCCAGAGCGGATTTGCCCAGTTTAGGTGAGCCGCGGTTGGAAGAAGTCCGGACGGACGTGGTGGTACGCTCGGCCGAGGCGTTGGTGGTCTGCACCCATGGGAACAGCGACAACGGACCGAGAGCAGGCCATGGCGGCAGACAGCAGCAGTTTTGGCGACATGGCGTGGCTCCGGCCCGAAGTTGTTTGCCATCGTGCGCAGGGGTGAGAACATGCTGACGGAGATGGTGGGGCACACGGCTCGGCAGTGCGGTGGTGCCAACGGTGGGGAACGGTGGTGGTGAGAGCTGAGAGCAGATCGGTGGCTCTGAGCTTGGCGTCCAGGCACAGGCACAGGCGAGTGGACCAGGCACAGGCAGCCGTCATCCCAGGTCCCAGCCATCGCGAGTACTCCTATATGCATACACGCAAACTCGATTGCTCTTGCATGCGCTGTGAGTTCATTGATAGATGATCATGCACGTACGCACAATCGCACACAGGGCATTGGTCTCCTGGCAGTGTCCACGGAGGTGAGGGCGTGAGACAGCTGCGGCCGCCGCCGTGCGGACCCGGCGCGGCTAGGCCGTGCGAGGTAGCCACGCGGCGTAGGTCATGTGTCGCTGCCTATCAGCGTGTCTATGCCCAACCAAGCAGCTGGGTTGAGGAAGAAAGGTGTCTCGACAGAGGAATTCACGCCAACAGCAACTACCGTGACATAATGCTATTTGAAGGTAAGAGTTCTTCTTTTAATGGTATTTTACGTGACGGATATTTTTATGGTATTTTTCGAATGTCGTGATTTTTGACGCTATGAACCAATTTTCCCTAATTTAAATCTACACACATAGCCACGTCGTGACGAACGTCGCTCGATCTCGGTGTGATGGTGAATTGTTTTCGTTCCCCGTTGCTGCTGTGCTGCTGCTTACTAACTTCATGCACGCGTGTTTCGCGCCGTCGTCGTCTTGCAGCTGCTGAAGATGAAGGACAGGCTGGCGGAGGAGGAGGAGGAGAAGAGGAAGCTCATCGCGGCTGCCGCGGCAGCCGGCGGCGTCGGAGCGGGTGCAGCAGGAAGCAGCAGCCCGAGCTCGTCGTCGTTCTCGACGGTGACGCACCACCCGGCGGCGCTGGTGGGGCAGTTCGGGGTGGACCCGGAGGAGGCCGCCGCCGACCTCACCTACATAAGCGAGTACGCCTACAACAGCTACATGAACATGATGGACCTCGCGCCCGGCGGCTACTTCGGCGGAGTAGTCTACGATCACTTCAACTGATCGATCGATGAGCATGAACGAGGAAGGATTGACCGGCTATCAGCTAGGTATTTTCGTGTTAATGGATGGATGGATCGATTTGCAGCGCAGGGCGCGTAGCAGTAGGAGCAAGCAATCAAGTCGCTAGTATAATCAGTACGACGTCTATCAGTCAATGTCCTGACGGTAATTAAGTCTATTCAGTAACTTGTTAAGCCATGTAGATTAGTAGCTGGTAATCTTTGTAAATCTGTGTGGATTATCGTGCAAGTGCTTATCATGAACTAATGGTCTCTGTGATGTAATATTTGGGGGAGAGTAATCGGAATCAGAAGATGCTTGTAAATGTTTTGGTGTCTTGTGTTAGTAATCGGAATCAGTCACTGCCTCACTGGGGAGACACAGGATGTCAAATCTTAGCCCATTGGTGGTTCGGGGTACAAGTATAACCATTCAAGCAGTGTTTGTTTCTCACTTAAACACTGTTACTTGTTATGTTGAGCATACACAAAAGACCAACGCTTACAACTCTGTGATCGAGGCATCCTAACTGACTGCACTTAAACAAGTGATGCGTCGTCTGGAAAAAAAATAAAAATAAAAATAAAATTAGGAGAGCGTTATCCATAGCTAATGATTGCATCAAGGCCATGCATCAGTACTCGTCGCCTTCTCTTCTTGGGAGATAAGCCTGGTAAAGATGAGATGACCTGACGAAAAGCGCGGCGGCTCCCGTCACTCGGCACGACGACGAAGCGAACAAACCCAACGCAACCCGATCGTCGATGGATCAATCATCCGCTGCGTGACGGCGACCTCCGTTTCGTCGGGAACCGGAGCGGAGCGGAGCGCGCGGGCACGGACAGGAGCACGTCTCTGTCTCTCTCGTGCTACGCCGTCGCCCCGGTGCAGTGTCTCTGTGTCTGAAGGGCGACAGGTGTGGGGATGGCTCATGGCACGGCGGAGAACTGAGCACCAAAGGGCACCACCACTACTGCACTACTACTACCTTTGCTTACTCCTGTAGGCATTCTTATCCGGTGTGCTTCCCTCATGGAATTGTACTATAGGATTGGAACAGGCAGGCATCAGAATTTTCGGCACCCATTTCGGTGCTACCGTCCAATCAACTCTCTGGTCCAGCAGTCACAAAATTGTGCACTTGTATGATTGATGAGGTACAGATCCTGAAATACTGGAGAGAGAGAGAGAGAGAGAGAGAGAAATCAACCTTGAGGAATTTCTTTTACAGTCCACAAATGCTACTCCTTTCAGAAAGCATCGTCGTTACGAAAAAGCTGGGCGATGATTCCAGGAACGACAAGGCGCTTTTTCAACAGCTGAAAGAATAATGGATTAATAATATACAAATCACCGAGTAGAGTACATAGGCGGTAGAATCGAGTGAAAAATCACCCCTCCCAACAGAGCTTGCGAGGCAAATCAGCACACGACGCTTGGGTTTTACATGATACAGCCATCAGGCATCTGACTTTTAGCGACCAAAAACAAGTACCTGACAGAAAGCTACGGCACAGCACTTGCCGTGCAATCCAGATGTTGACACTGCAAGAATTAGCACAACGACATGGTACCGGAAGTTACACCACAGGGGCGCCAGGCAACCTATTTTTCAGAGACGCCGTGCCCGTGCAGGGTTTCCTCGAGGAACAATGGGGGAGACCCTCTTTCACAGGAGATGGTGGGAAAGGAGAAGATGACGGCAGCTGTCGGTGACTCGAGATCGAAGAGAAACAGCTAAATGGGTTCCTCAGCCGCCTTTTCTCTGAGTCTTCAGATTGACTATTTGGATCATGGCCAACTGGAGAGATCTTAAGCGACTCTGGGAGAAGGAAGTTGCAGATGGCGCCTACAAGGAAAAGATGCACTTGATCATCATAATATGAACCAGAAAGTTACAACAAACTCCATGTAGGCATGTACATATAAAACAGTCCTACTAAGTGAACTAGAAAGTAGAAACACAGGGCCTGGCATCAAACTACAAAATCAGAGCTGCCACAGTTCCCTTAGTTGGGCATGCTGTTGAATTCAACAACCTGTTCAAAACATATGGCAAAAAATTATAGTGCTCTTTGTGGATGAAACTAGTCACTAGAGACATCTCGCCTCTTTGCAGGATGATTCAGCTAATGCCACTCACATATCAAGTGCACAGTTACTGAGTTACACTGTGATATGGTGCGATGGAAAAGTACTTAACACTTATGGAAAATGAAGGCAAGACATTCATAAACCAGGGTAAACCACATTTCTAGAAAGTAAAGTGGAAACAATAATATAGAGCGAAAAATGATGGCAATGACAGTTAAAGCCACGTAATGCAGTCTGACTATGCACAAGTAGCACTTAAATCACTATCACCTTTGCTATGTGGAATCAATGAGCTAGTATAAGCATTAGCACATGTGTAAAGCTATGGTACCTATTCTGGCGAGCCGATTCACCCATTTGGGAATTTTGTTACCGGTCAACTTGTAGCACATATCCTTGCAGAAGTGGTTACAGTTCTTTGTGATAAGATGGTAAGTATCTCCATTGTAGTTTACTGACTGTAGCTCCATGAACTGCCTAACTTGGATTGGATCCAAGCATGTTGTACCAAGAAATATTGATTTTCTGAACCTAAAACCAGGGCATTGGCGAGGTTCTACCTCAAAGACCCCACTGGTGGGGAAGTCATGTGCTCCGAATGCATATTCAACACCATGAACTGTTAATGGAAAAGAGAGGCAATCAAAATATATGTCATGTGAGAATTCAGTTGAGAAATCTTATTGTAGAGAAACCAAGCAACAACATAACTTATATGACAACTTGTTATTGTCTTGAATAGGGGTTTGAATGCCAATGCCACTATCATTTAATATCTGAGGCAGTCAGCAAGATAATTACACAGATCACCCTTTTAAAATATTCCAAAGCTAGCTGAAAAATTGCATCATTTAAATTCACATGAATCCATACTCTCCAAAAAACATGCCATCGCATATAGTTCAGTCTTTCGTTTCTGACAACCTACTACATTCAAGAATGTACACTTTATTAATAGAGCACGAAGTGAAAAGTGAACCTGAAGAAAGATCTAGGCTAGTCAATAAAAGACTACTATTGTTAAAAATGACTGGCAAGATTAGACAGGACCTAACAACCCAGACTGGATCATTCAGAATTTCAGGTGCAACTTTATTAACGGATAGTTGCTAGTGGCATTGAGTATTTAACAAGCTTCTAAATTACTTCCTTTACCCATCCACATATCTGACCGGTGACTGATGCTACCCATCTCGGAGACTACCCCTCATTTTCCAAGTTCTCCACATGGACTTCCCCAAACTAGTGCACCATTCCTACTCCCATATCCTTCCCTAGTTCTCTTCTTTCCTAGATCCAGCTAGCATTAGGGAGAGGACTAGCGATTTCATGGGCACCTAAAGAAAATTCTTAAATCACTACTATACCCTCTAAAACTGGATTCTGGATCTATAAAGATGTGTAACATAAGGGAGGAACGGAGGATGATGACTAGAGATTTCACAAGCAGGGAACCTAAAGAAAATTTCTTAAATCACTATTAAACCCTATAAAAGTGGATTCTGGATCTGTACCCATTTCATCTTTTTAAACAAGCTTTCTCAGATGAAAAAGGTGTTTGGTACTCTGAAGCCTGACACATAAAATGGACCCAACAACATCAAGAAAAGCAATCATCTTCCAAGCCCAGTAGATAGAAAAATATTTTTTCTACAATATTGTAATACTTTATTTCATATTACAAAAGGCAATATAACATTGAACCCACCCCTATCGTCCATGTTTCTATAAGGTAAAATGACACCTAGTGAATCTAATGATTTCAGCTAGACACATCACACATCAATGACAGCACAAAAAAATCTAAATATGTAGCTCATCTAGGCAAGGTGAAACAATTCATACCCAAGGGGCCTATTTGGAAGGCAGAAATTTTACATGAACCACACAGGAGTTTCAAAAGAATCAGTTCAATTTCACAGGGAAAACACAGGATTCGGCAAAAATTCCCATGTTCCAAACAGGCCCTAATGGCCAGAAATGAATTTATGGCAAGGAACAAACCTATATGCAGATAGGATTGTTAATGTAGCAAAAGGGTTGTTTTCTTAACGCACACAACAACAACAACATCAACAACAAAAACAATATCTTCATAGGGTGAAACAGCAGATAGATCACAATACTAGATAGCAATGTTAGCTAAAACGAATAAGAAGATGGCTGTTTTACTTTAGTACTAGTCCTACAATTTTTCAAGGATAGAGGAGAAATTAGCTAAACATTGAAATAGCATAAAAATAACCAGCATTTGATTATGTATTAACTGGGGAAAAGAGAGATGCATATGGCAGAGAAAAGAACCTTCAATTCCTGAGTGAAATATGCCCAGGCCTGCCCAATATATATAACCATTCATTGGTGTCAAATCATACACGTTAAGATAAACTGGGGTATCATCTGGTGATTGACCAGCCGACTGAACCTTGGGGAACAAAAAGAAACGCATGGCAGATTTCCTGCTCAATCTGCTCAGTTGTAGAGGCATGAGGGACTTCCATTCAGGCCGTTTTGTCCTTAACTTCATAGCCCTCCCTTCACATAATCAAATGAGATATCAGCATACGAAGGCTCTACTTCAAGAACCACAAGAAATTAATAAAATCATATAAGACAGCCACCATAGTTGTTCTCTGAAATCTTTTTCCTTGGAAGCAGTTTAAAGATTGTATTACACATAATAGCAATGAATTTGGTTGGATTTTGAATAGGCCAGCAACAAGAGATTGCAAAATAGAAGCATTCTAAAAAAAATTATCCTATATTTATTGCAATCTTAGACATATTTGCCTTGTATATAAGAAAACCAAAACAAACTAGTACATTGTGTTCTGTCCAACTATTAGCTGGTTATGCATTAGCACAATTTGAAAGCTCCAATGTACAAGAAAATCCAGGGGCCTAGG